CCCCAAAACCCCAAAACCCCAAAACCCCACATAGCATTTAAGTTATTTAACAAAAGGAATAATATATAAAGAACAATGAGTTTTAGAACTGAACCAGAACTTCCTTTAGGGAAAGAACAACCAATGGTCATGAGTGGGTGTATGCAAGCGGATTACTGTTGAAAGCAGGAATGTGATAATGTCTTTGTAGAAATGGTAAGAGAACACTGGAGGGAGAGTTTTAGGAAGATGGAGGCAATGGGTGTTGTTTCGCAAACATTTTGGGGTAGTTGGAAATTTTTAGAGTTGAAGGAGAGCTTGGTTTAGTTTATTTAGGGACCTTGAGAAATAAGACAAGATTGGAGTTCTTTTGGAATTTTCGATTCTGATTTTATGAAGAAAATTTGAATTCAGAGTGCTCAAGAGGATCATATCTTAACCAATGAGTTAAATGAAATCAAAGATAAGATACCCAAAGTCCCTTTTCTTAATACATCAAAGAATTTAACTAAGTCTGAAAATTTTGATAAAATAACAGAAAATATTAACCAACTTAGTACTGCTTACTCTGAAAAAGAGTCAGCAAAGGAAACTTATCCAAAAGCTTTCAATATTACAAAATGATGCCAACAATTAGGAAAGCCAATTAATTCAAGGCCCAAGTTTAGACCTGACGCTGAAATGAAGAAAGCACTTATATCTGTTAAAAAATTTATCAAGAGATTATTCAAGTCCATGAATTCAGAAATAATTCAGAGAAGATATATAAACTGTAGTATCTCTCAGATCTTTGTATCAATGAGGCATACATTGCTGAATGTCATCCCTGAAGAACTTCTTGCAGATGATTTAGTCTATTACACAGTAGGAATTCTCAGCATAAAGAAGCCGTCTGACCTCGACTGTAAGCAAAAGATAAAAAGAGAGATATTTGACTTTATTGAAACAAACAAGAGATTCACAAACAAAAAGTTCAAGAAGACAATTCAGTCTAATAGTCTCAGAATTTTGTGTAGATACATGATCCCACAGGTTGATGAATCCACAGCAGGGATACTCAGACAAGCACTAGACTTTGATTAAAGATTCTCTAGCATAATTTACTCCAAGATCTTCCTTCAAGCATGGAAGAGACACTTCTCAACAAGGAAGTTCTGAAGGCTTAAATTACTTGATAAAACTAGCTTGCATAAAAGATTTTACTAAACTTGTATCTTCCAATTTCTTTAACTCACCCATCATTGTCAGCTAAAAACCAACTAGAAATTCGATTACTTTTAAAGTGAGAAATCGCTATCCTCTAGCTTCCTTCATGCAAGAAATAAACCACCTCAAGGTGTAAAATGCTATATCTTTGAGTCATGATGTCTCAGCTCACAATTAATAGCAGGTTTTGTCTTCTCTAAGCCCATTACTCCTTCTAGGATTTGTTAAAAATCAGGGTTATAATCAAATTCCCAACTTATGGAATATTCGTTATGACAATTTTAATAAATACATTATTAGAGGTTAGGAAACAGCCATAATTTAAAGAAGTAATTCAACGAGAGCTCGCACTAAATATCGACTGAAAGAAGGAAATTTTGCGATCAGAATGAATTTTTAGTATACCATTTTGTCAAAAGATTCACTATGCCAGGTTGCTAACTATTTTAGACAAAGAGCATTTCTGAAAAGTAAATTTAAATTCTTTTATAAACAGAGCCTTATCGTTAGAAATGCTATTTAAACGGGTTTTATTAATATTTATTATGACATGCTTCTGCATAAGATATTTGTTTCGAAATTCCACTCTGATGTCAAGATTTCATAACCCCCATTTTCTTTAACACCCTGTTATTCCTTTTAGAAGCTTATAGCCAGTGATTTATACACAAAATGGAGCTCTATATGATTAATTTAGAGTCGAGAGGTTGATAGGGTGTAATTTAGCTATGAATTTCTGATCTTCAATCATAGTAATCTCCCATCAGACCCACTATTGTAATCATCAAAGTTATCTTCTAGAGCAAAAACAGCTGAAATATATGGCTCTGGAGTATCTTCTGAGTCAAAGAGACGTTTCAATTTTTAAATAGTTTTCAAAGGATTTCTGAACATAGCTGTAAACTTCAGAAAAGATTTTATTTTGTGTTATGAATCGGGACTAGTATGCAAACTTCTGAAATTTGGAAGCAATTTTTAGTTCCGGGAAAAATGAGAGGTATAGCTAAATTTGTTACAGGAGATTGCCTATAGCATATCATAATTTGTCAACTTGGAAATGCATATTACCAAATGTTATTAATATTCGAAAATTAATAATGATTGGTTAGGAATTGCTTGACATACAACTCCTTGGATAAGACAGGGCCATACTCAATAGCTTAATAGTCTGGGAATTATAAAAAAGCACCTTTGATAACCTAATTAGATTCTATGGCTATGTATCCCAGAGTTTATGAAAAACTGACAGAACTCATTATTTGACATATGATGCTTTTATAAAGATTGTAAATGCAGGCAACTGCTTTTTCAAGAAATCATTATGAACTCGGCATCAATTTGAGCTTAGTGAGGTATACAAAAGAATCCAGGCTTTAAAGAAAAAGAAGATTTTTGATAAGGTAGTTCAATAAAAATATCAGAATTTCATAGCCAAAGAATAAGTTACATGAAGGTAATTACTCAAATAATAAAAGAACGTTCTAATAAATTATTGATGCATAAAGACTTCCACTTGAAATTTAGAGACTCTCTAAGGTGAGAAGCCTTCTTTTACAGTATTTTTCTCGCTGATAATATTTCCTCCATACACCTTAAGCAAGCTTAAGGGAGTCTTAATTAATTGTATCTTCCAAAGTATTATCAAAGTTAATAATTTTAGTTTCGTTTCTCAGACCTGCCAAATTTTTACTGGCATTTTACTCAGCTTCAAAATCAATAGTTGGCCATGAAAATCTGAAATAGGCTTAAAGACGACCCTTTCTTTGGTTATACTAAAATGCTAAAATTTTCGATACTCAAAAACTCAATTTTAATCTTAAGAAATTTAGACATGGAGCAGTCAAAATAGGAAAATTTATTTTCCATTGAGACTGAGGAAGGTAATAGGAGATATTCCTAATATTATCTACAATTCAAATCGTTTCGGCAAGAATATTGATAGAATGCTATGATAAGAAAAATTGCTCAAAAACCCAAAAATCATTCTCATCTGTTAATTTTGAGCATTTATTACATCATCGAACAATTTCAGAAATATCCATAATATCTAAAAACCCTAATTAAAAATTCTAAATAACTCCCTTATACAATAACAATCTCATAAAACACACAAAAAATCTCTAAATATTACCCAAAATTCCCAAATTTCCCTTAAAACCGCACAAAACTAATCTATTCCTTGCTAAAATCCAATTTTTAAAAACTTTTCAAATATGTCAAAATCAAGTTGGGAATAACAATTTTAGATATACGACTGCAGGCTTACTGTGGGGTTTTGGGGTTTTGGGGTTTTGGGG